TTTATGCTCAAAATTAAAATGAGATGATCGCATGACAAAAAAGCCAACAGAATGATGCTTTCCCCTGTTGGGTTTGCAATGTGTGTGTGTAAGTGCATGACCTTGTTTACAGTATTTTCTTTCTACCTCTTTCATTAATAAATGTCATTTCTCATAATGTCTCAGAGGGTTTTCTGGTCAATTGTTTCTTGAAGGTTGATGTACGTCCCACAGGGAAGAGTGTGCAGGGAACTGCATGTCCGGAATATGAGTGCCTTCATGGCCCTATATATGGATGTGCTCACATGTGTGTGTGTGTGTGTGTGTGTGTGTATGTACCATGCTCATGTGCAAAGGACCACACATGTACAGCTGTGAAAATTACATCTATTTTTGGTCCCAATGGCCCCTCAGGATATTGAGCACTGCAGAATGATGCTCCTTTCAAGCAATTTACCCTAAGCCAAAGGACACTTTCTCCCCAGGCAAAATGTGGTTCTGGACATATAGGCATAAAAAGAGTTGTAAAACACATTGCTTTATGTACTTGTCTGTCTTATCATAAAATATCCTTCTGCTTCATTTGATATCTTTAATAAAATAAAAAAAAGAATCAGTCGTTTCTTACTGTTGATCTCATTTGTATCACACAATTGGACTCAGTAGATTGTGGGAACTCAGTGGGGATAAGCTTGCTGTTAGCCTACTTCTGTGTCTCTGCATAAATATTAGTGTTGTCGATCAATTAAACAATTAAATAGAATGTAGAATATAATGTAATTCATTATATGCTAATTGATTCAGCAAATTAATTTTAATTAATTGCATATATTAATGTTTGCTGAAAAAAAAAAAAAAATACACATTATACATTTACAGGGTTAGTTCACCCAAAAACTCTGTTATCATTTACTCACCTTTATGTTGTTCCAACAAGAGTTTGGTTAATCTTTGAAACACAATTTAAGATATTGATATTATTTCTCTTTCTCTCTCTCTCTCTCTGCCTCCACTGAGAGTCCAGGTAACCAAAAAACAGAAGATCCAAAAAGGTCGTAAAGGCATTGTATAATGAATCCATATGAATTGAGCGGTTTAATCTTAGTCTTGTGAAGAGATTGAATCACTTTATATAATAAACAGATACACTATTTTTTTTACGTTCATATAACAGTTCTTTCTGGTCCTCGAATCTGATTGGCTGAGAGACTTTTCCAGTAGTGGGATATTCTAGTGATATCGGAACTCCAACCGTTTCACAGTTTGTATCACTCTGCTTGCAGTATTTTTCACAGCGAGTGTCATGGCGGACACCCAAATCCACAAAATAATTATAAATAATAATGTTTTTGTGTCACGGAATGTAGTTTTAAGAGTTTTTTTTAGACGAGAATGTACTTGTTTAGACTTTAAATATGCAGTTTGTTAATAAAGATAACATCAGTTTGAAAATATGCTTCAACATTTTAGGAGATGTGAGCTTCAGGGCCATTCAACGCTCATGAACCCACCGAGAGCAGCCTCACATCGGCCAGGCCTTCTGGAATTTGCGCTAGCTCTGATGTCTCTACAGTGGTTAAACATGAGATACAATTCATTTTGGGTAAATCTAACTTGCAGTCTTTGGTCTCATTAATCTATTATTTGCTACAGAGCATAGATTTGGCTGAAGGGCAAAATCTCATCACTTTATCATCAGCGCTGTTATCGGAAATCACCCTTAAAAAATGAAAGGATAGTACGACAAAGATATCGCTTTCATCAGTGGACATTCAAACTAATGTTTTATTGTGAATATGAGACTGAGCTGAAGAATGAATGCTGTATCAGATCACTTGCTCTGTCCATCTCGCTCTCATAATACAGTGAACTTTTAATACAGTAATACAGTAAGCTTTTAATGAAGCACCTCAACGTTCCTTAGTTCTAAAGTGACCTTTTCAACTTAGTAACGGCCGGGCTCATAGATTTGAATCTGTGGCGAAAGGAAGAAGTTCCGTACAAAAGAGGGTTTTTAAAGATACGCCGCTGTTGTTTCTTATGTATTTAAGTATTGTGGCGAGTATCCCGGTTCCAGATCAGCGTCGCCCTGGAAACGCCGCTCCTACACAAATCACAAACTACCACCACCTGTGCGGGATGACTGGCTGGGCCCGGAACCTGGGCTGTGGAGGTGGGCATTGTGCGTGATCTTCCGGTTCCACTGCTGTTGGGACGAGACTGGCCAGGGTTCGAGCAGCTGCTTGTCTCCCCCCGAAGGCCCGTTTTGCGGCTGGAGGATCCTTCGGCCGGGAACAGCGCGAGGATGACCGCTTGCGTAACTGCTGGGAACGAGTACGTCGTGTGGATGAAGTGGATCGGTTACCTGGCCCACACCCCCTCCCTTACTTCGTGATCAGGAATGGCCTGCTGTACTGTGTCGCCCACAGGCGGGGCGAGGAAAAAATG